AACATTGTTTTGTTTAGAAGGATAGTTTGATAATCAGGTGGAACCTATAATTCACTATTGTGTACAGCTGGTGCACAAAGTCAAAACACTTCGATGCAACATGCTGTCTGTGTCGCATGCATGTGCTGTAGTGAAAGAGCGAAGCAAATTTTCAGCAAAAGTGGTTGTAGGATGAAAGACTAAAAACCTGGTTAAAGCCCGCTGACTGTAAACATTTTGCAGCATGTGTAAAAAGATGTTCAAACTTTGTACAATGGGCGTCAACGTGGTGAAATCACATATGCTGTCGGGAAGTCACAAGTCGGCCATTAAAGGCAGACAGCAGTTAACAGCACCGTATTTCTTTGCTGTGGCCAGCAACCCAGCCTCTGCTGTCACCACAACTGTAGCGGCTACTACAACCACCTTTCTGACTGCCCCAGCAGAGTCTCACCGGGGTAAGGACCAGTGACCTGCGAGCAGTATTTGGCTCGAACACGACTTTGGAAGTCGAGGTGCTCTGGTGTATGAACACTGCAGTGAAGCACCACTCTTTTGCATCCAACGATGGTGTTTCTAAGTTATTTCAGACAATGTTTCCTGATTCTGTTATAGCCTAATCTTTCACCTGTGGAAAGGACAAAACCAGCTACATTATAAAATTTGGACTTGCCCCTCACTTAAAAAACATGCTGATTTCTACAGTCCACAAGGCAGGACCATTTGTTTTAATGTTTCAGTCGACAAAAAGTAAACAACTAGATGTTCATGTGCGGTTGTGTCCACTCCTGTTATCTCGGATCACAGTTCATGGGACACTCAAAGACACAGGATCTCCTTCAACATTTCAATGTAAGTATAGTTACGCTTTCACAAATAGACAGTTCAAATATTTTAGACACATTTAATGCAACACAAAGTGCTTTGCAAATGATTGAAAATATGCATTGATATGAAAATATGCAATGACAAAAAAAGATAATTTAAAACAGTTTAAACATTGACAACCCACTCGCACCTTGTGTTATATGCGCACACAGAGTCATACAGGCACACAGAGGCAGACATTGACTCACACATACAGGCCCATGCACAGAAACAAACGCACCCAAAAATGTGGAAACCTTGATGTTTATGGAATTATGTTTAGATAAATTAAGAATTATTAAGTCAACATTCTATGTTTTTATTGCAAATCTAAGATGAGATATGTTGATTATTTCTCAGTGAATCCTATAACTTTGAGATGATGCTTTAAATGGCTGTTTTTGTTTTATTAATCAAAAAAGAAAACTTACAATAACCAATAACTTTAAAATGTTTGCATGGTGTCAAATCATTTGAATAATTTTTTTCCCCCCTTGGGAATGTGTGCACCTGTTAGACCTGAAGAATCTCCTTTCCATTAGCATGGACGGGCCAAATGTGAACTTTAAGTTTCTCCATGACTCTTAGTGGATAGGAATGTTAAGGATAGCTTAAAACCAAGGTTTAGCACTACTTTATGTTAGTATGAATAAGCTGTATTCTCACTACATTTGACTCTTAATAGGAGTTGAAGCTTTATTGGCTACTTCTCTGTAAACAAGGAAGTGGAAATCTGCAACATAACTGAACAAACTGTTGAGGCCCA